AGATAATTGTGGCTATTAAGGTATTGACTAAAATGTGTGTTTGAATTGGGTAATTTAGAAGCTAATTTCTTACCAATGGTTGAAAAATATTTGTTAGAATGTTAGGAATATCTTTGGGATTCTTGATCATTTCCTGTTTAATTGGGCATCTTAACGCTGTGACAGTTTTATGGTTCTTTCTCTTGCGGTTTTATCAGGTTGTTTATGCCCTCCCACGTTTTTCTCATGTTTGTAAGGTTGTTATTGAAATATTCTTGGAAATAAGATTTTTTGCTAATTCGTGTTAAGATTGTTATTTTGTTTCGATATAGTTTGTACTTGTTTTTGTCCGCAGAATGATATAATTTGTTTTTTATTTTAATTAACTTTCTTATTCCTTTAGTTATCCATGGTTTAGAAAATTGCTTTATCATTCGTGTAGAAATAAGTTTTAATGGGGAATATTTGTTTGTTAAATTATTTACTTTATCGTAAAAAGTGGTGAATAGTTCATCTATATTGTCCCTTTTATTCGCAATTATAGAATTCCAATTAATTTGTGCTATATCAGCATTAAAACCAGACTCTGAGAAATGAGAGAAATCTCGAATTTTTTTCTGATGTTTTGTTTGCCATTTGTCTGGTTGATTGATGCAGAACTGTGAAAAGTGGTCGCTAATATCTGACACAATATTCCCGCTTACGATTGAATTTTCAATTTTATTGACAAAAATATTGTCAATTAAAGTTGCTGAATTGTTATACACCCTAGTGGGCTTGTCAATTGTTGGTGTTAAAGCATAACTTTGAAGAGTAAATAAGAAATTTTGAGTATATTGGCAAGTTTGAGCCTTGAGGAGGTTTATGTTGAAATCACCCATTACATATATAGGTTTGTTTGAGCCTGAAGCGCTAAATTTATCTAGAGCGTCTTCAAAATATGCTTGAAAGCTTTCTGGAGAAGTATGTTGCCTATACACTACTCCACATATAATGTTTGGTTTGTTCTTAAAGTGAATTTCAACCCAAAGAGCTTGAAAAGCTTTATTAGAATTTTTTTCTAAAACTGTGTTAACTCAAGTCATCTCTAATGTACATTCCCGCACCACCCGATGCCAGCGGTGTTGGAACAAATTCAAATTTATAGTCAACTATCTCAGGATTAAAGTCAGTGAATTTATCATCCCTGATTTTAGTTTCAGTAATTCCTATTACACTAAGGGACTGCTCATTATTTGTTGTACAGGGGGAGACTGAGGAGAAACTCTACAGTTATAATATTTTTTCGTTGCCCCCCTCTTAGGGACCAGTCATTATTTATGGCAGGGGTGGGGGCTGAAGAGAAAACGTTTTAAAGCCAATATTTTTTCCCACCCCACCTTTTTTGTGGCTAAATTTTTTTTACCCCACTTTTAAGGTGAAAAAAAATTACCCCACCAAATAGTTATAAACCCTTTTATAACAACCAATAAAATTCGATTTTCCCTTATTAAATTAAACATTTATATTGCATTAAGCACTCCCTCATTTTTTTAATAGTTTTATACAATTTTGTTACTATATACAATATAATACATGAAAATGAAGTAATCATTTTAGCTGAAACAAATTCCAATGTCCTGCATGGCGTCCATAGCGAGTTGTCACTACCCATGGAAGAGGTTCAACATCCGGGATCTACTCACCTTCTTCAACTTCACTTTCACTCTCAGTGTCATCCCCAAGCTCTTCTAAGATAAGGTCTCCGTCACTGTCACTATTTATATCACTAATATTATTATCAGATCCAGTTTCTTCAATCGCCGTCTCAATAGCATCAGTTTGCTTTTTTCTAAGCACATCCACAGTAATAGCATTTAACTTGTCAGTCTTTTTCCCTTTTTTGCTCAGTTTGTTTTTGTCAAGGTATTTGTTTAATTCCACAACTTTCAGGTTTATCAGTTTCCTGTTCACCACTAAGTCTAACCAGTTATAATCATCGTAAGATTTGCCTTCTCTTTCTGTCTTATCTCTGACTCTCTGCCTTGCTCGAATATCTTTAGCATGACGAAGGTCGGTCAGATGTTGAACGTAGTTAGCTACAAATTCCCTTTTGACATAATACTTATCTGAAAATTTTGTAACTGACTCTTGCTGATCTAAGGAAATGGAATCTTCATTAAACAATATATTCGCCCTTGGTTGCCAGTCATCGGCTTCTCTTTCCTCTCCACTTTCTGTATGTGTTGGTGTCACATTTACATCCATGTAGTGCATCGGCCTCTGAGGGGTCAGGAACAGGCTGGGGAACTCGCGTCGTGGGAGGACCGTTCCATGTAAGACAATAATCACAGCCTTCATCTTTGCATCCAGTCCTTACAAACTCCATAAATAGCTCTCCGACTTTGTAATGGTGGTTAAAAAACTTCATGATCTTTTTAAAGTATGCTGCACCTGGAACGCCGTCCTTAGCAGCAGGTGTCGAAGCTGTATGATACTGTAACAAGTAACTTCTGTTGAAAAAAAACTACTGTTCTTGTCTATTTTCAGTCAAATATGCTTTAATCCTCTCGCTTAGAACAGGAGCTCCATCAATTCGTTCGACCAATGTCTTTGCTACATACCAAGCATTCTTCTCCATCCTTTGTTCTTCCAATTCTTCAAACTCTTTCACACTCAATTGATTGATCTCCTCTTCATTCATCTCTTCAAACTTCTTGTAAACTTCCCAGTTAATTGTTGCTCCATCTACAACAGCATCACCAATCGCAGAATTTGTTCGTTCTGCTTCGCCTTGCCCACTATCGCCCCGTGATCTGTGAAGACGCATTCTGTGGTCAGAATTAAAAATTCTGCAAAGTTCGGCATCCCTAAATTTAACCTCAAAGTTAGAAACACCCACTCCAGGCCCTGCATCAGTCAAGTCGCACCATCTTGGTTTGACAACGGGTATTTCAAGTCTTTGATTAAAGCTATGGTATCTCGACAACAGTATGCTACATTTCTTATTCCATTTTGGAATTGCTGCTTTGATTTTCTATCAGCCACGCTCAAGCACTGGTTAATCTTTTCTGTGAGGTCTTCAAGTTTGGACTTAACATTACCCAATAGGATCTTATTCTCAGCCTCGATATCCATCATTTCCTCATCAGACAGGTAGGGTTTGATTTCTATTTTAAGATGTTGTAGGCGTTTACATTCATACTGAGTGTATATGCATGTATGTTCTGCCTGGGCTCTTGAAAGATCTTCTGTTTCTGTCATGTCATCGTAAAGAAAACATGCATTTTCAATTGTCGCACATGCTTGTCGAAACTCTGTGCTGTAGGCTTCGCAATTCTCCTGAACGTCAAACAGATCTGGATGGCGCTGTCTTAGTCTGATAGTCTCGCTTGCCCAAGTTGTCCCACTTGATTCAATAATAGCCTTTGGACACACAAAAACAAAATGGCTGTCGTCTTTCGTGACCAACTTTTCTTCATTTTTTTCTTCAGACATGCATGATTCTTTTGTAAATATGCGGTGTGCACCTGGAGTCTGGTAGAGGAGTTTCTCAGGCCAGTCGTACTTGGGTAGTTTTCTAGCCTTTTCAATGAGAAGTCTGTTCAGACTGTTTCCCAAAAAATGAAAATTTAACATTTTTGACGTGTGCTCTTTGGAAGTGAGTGTTCTCGTTGTCAGCGTCTTCCGCTTTTGGGGGCTTCTTTGAGCAGAATAGACCTTTACCCCGGTGGCGCTTTGCTTGAATAGATCTGGATGACCTTGGTTTAGAGCGGTTGTAGACAGTTGTTGCACTCTTGACAAGTTTCTTCTTCTTTTGAAGCAATCTGTAATTGGCAATGTTCAATAAATCCCGCTTTTTTACTCGCTTGTTGGTGTACATTATCAAATCATGTCTTCTTCCTTGGTAAGTAGCCTTGTCCTCAATACACTTTGCAATGAAGTCTTCGTCATCACTATCAATTAAACATGTGTTTCCTTGGGTTGTTTTAGCACGACGCTTTATTCTTTTTGCCTCAAACAGCTTTACAGCTCTTCTGTTCTTCATTTGGCTGAACTTTTGTTGACTTTTCTTGTCACCCTCTGAGGACAGCATAGCGGTGATGTTACGCACAGCGCTCTTCTTTTGTTGCAGCTCTTCTTCCATATCGTTAATAATTGATGTGTTCCATTTCCCTCTTTTTGCTTCTACCTTTGCTGTATCTGTTTCAATGGCTTCCTCCAGCTTTCGTTTCCTTGCATTTAGACTAGCATCTACCATATTACTAGCAACGGAATTTGCCTCCTGCCAAGCCTCTGTGACTTCTATGACCTATTATATAAAAAGATATAAAAGACATTTTTCAAAGAGTTATTAAAACCTCATATGAACTTTTCTAGTGGAAATTTTAAGTATATTTCTATATAAAGAACTGAGTAAACCTAGCCTTTGCTGTATTTTGTTTGGTATTGTCTGGATCAATTCCAAGTTCCTTTATTTCTTTTCTTGATCGATCAGAACCAAGTAGAACACGCGCAACTTTCCTGTCCCACTCAGTGTCGATGGTTTGCATAATTCCCTGGACTTTTTCTGCGTCTAGATCGGTACTGCCATAAGGTGCGTTTATATTTTCTGAAGAGCATAACATGTCAAAGAAAACTTCCAGGCTACAGCAATCTGGTCTTAGTACAATGAATCGTTTATTCAACTTCTCCACATAAATGATATGAACACAAAGTCCCCATGTTTTGTGTAAGAGAGCGTAAGTGAAATTATTGTGATCCGCTTTGGTGAACGGTGGAACTTTATTTTGGTATGCAAAGTAAATTTCAACTGCCTCGTCAAATGGTAGATAGCTGGTATCATATTGCTTGTCATCCTGTGCGATGTATTCTGCCTGAAGGCCATGCAGAACTGCCAAAAGTCCTTGAATTTTGGGTTTTTTCTCTTTCGTTTGCTTTTCGCATAATTTTTCAAGGGTATTTTGATTATCCTTCAATAAACATGGCTGTAGCGACGTTGATACAAAAGGACTAAAATGTGCAGTCTTAGTCAAGTCGGACCTAGCATCATTCTTGCCTCGAAGTTCTATGTTCTCTTCTTCTCGGTCGTCCTTTTTTTCCCAAACCGATTTCAGATTCTATAAAATTGTTTTTGGAAAAATTTTTAATATTAAATATATAAACAATACTGTGAAATATTTATCAATTAAAATATGCACGACTCACCTGGATTTTCATGTAAATGAGATCTAGAATCTTCCATTTTGATTTAGATTTGAGCACGTGTGGAGCATAATATTTGATTTACATGAAGTAGAAGGTATGATATCGAAAGTATTTTTAACATGGCCGACAATATCGAGATTTTTCTTGAATCTATAAACTTAAAACTTGAGTATTTAGAACGGTTTAAGGACTTGGGTTATGATGACTTAGATCTTATCAAGTCTTTAAGTGATCAAGAGTACCAGGAAATGTTTACTTTGGTCGAAATGTCTTCGAAACCAGGACACATCTTAAAATTTAAGAAAGCCCTCTCTGCTCTACTTGCGAGCAGACAGAAACAGTGGACAAATCAAAACATACAAGCTCAGGATTAAAGCAGACAAAAGTTCAAACGAGTAAGTGTATATAGTACGTTTATATAACATGTAAGTCATGGACTGTTTATGTATAAAACCAGGTTTTAGAGTGCAATATATATATACAGGGTGTATCAAAAAAAGCGCAATCCTCGACTGAAATGTAAATTGCTAAACAAATAATAGACGAAAACGTTAAAGTTTACATTCATTTTAAAGCGTAGCCATTCAGCTTTCTAACAGTGGGTTGTTTCTTAAATTTGACTCATTACTTCACGGGTAATAATACTTTACGTTATTGCGATTGGAGATTAAAAAAATTGAGATGGAATAACAAATCGTTCTCATGAAAATAACTGATTTTTTCATTGAAACAAAAAAATGTTACATTTTATTAAATGGATTGTAACAATAAGTATAATTACGGCTTTTCTTCCACTATTTTTAACTCAGTTTGAAACTTCAAATGCGATATAATTTTGGCTTGGACCATCTAAGCTGACTGACATCAACTTGCTATAATTTCTGTTTACATTACATCGCAATTCGATGACACTCTGGTTCAGACACCAGAATTTTTTGACGATTTTTAGCATTCGTTTAGGATTTTCAAACAACCTGGTCTCTTTTAAAATACTTTTAATTTGTTCTTACGTGGTTTTCCAGATGTAGTGATGACAACATTAAAGTTTAAAGAAGAAAATTCTAACATTTAAACCGACTAAACAATAACATAGTAAACTTGCATAATTAAACAGCAACTAAAAATGATAGGTTTTACTAAATCTTTTCCTGTGCAATTATTACTATATAGCATTGGAGACAAGAATAATAGTTTGTTTGAAAGAGAAAAGAACAGGCTTTGAAGTAAGCCTAAAAGCGTTTAACTAGAAATAGTATTTCGAAAGTTATTAAGCACTAAGGATGAATTGCGTTTATTTTGATACACCCTGTATATATATATATATATATATATATATATATATATATATATATATATATATATATATATATATATATATATATATATATATATAGTATATATATATATATATATATATATATATATATATATATATATATATATATATATATATATATATATTTAACAAATATAAAACATTTTCCGTGTTGATATACAGTTATATCAACACGAGTGGAAATTGGAAAAACGAGAAATTGTGTGGAAACACGACGCCCGAAGGGCGGAGTGTTTTCACACAATTTCGAGTTTTCCCAACTTCCACGAGTGTTGATATAACGATATATCAATACGGAAAAAATGTTTTATATTGGTTTTATAATATAGCAATGTCAAAAGCCCGAAGAATAAGAAAAATTTCCGTGTTTACAAGCGGCGGAAAATTTCCCGTGTTGACATGGAGTTATATCAACACGGCTCTTAGCCAATCAGCGTTCAGAATTTACAAATGCTATATTATATATATATATATATATATATATATATATATATATATATATATATATATATATATATATATATATATATATATATATTCAAAATAGGTTGTCCTTTGCAAACCTTAAACTCTAAGCGTGCAAAGCATCATGGGAGCATCATATAATCCGTTTAAAAATTATATGGCCGGGGCCCATTTCTTAGAGACATGGTAAATATCTCCTTACGAGAGCAATTCATTCACAAATAGCTGCAATATGCAACTACTAAACGTGAAATTTGTGCTCCCATTAAGCTTTGCGAGCTTAGAGTTTAAGGTTTAATAATACATATTTTTATGCCTTTGATAACTTTCATTCCCTCGGTACGTAAAATCGTGTTTTTCCAGAAAAAGATTAAGCAGTTAAATGTCGAGTTCACTGAAATCATAGTTCCACTCCAGAATGCCGCAATTTGTCCGTTATCTAATACCGATGCGTCATACTTCGAAGTTATCCTTAGTCCAAGGTAGACGAACAATGGAATGGACAGTACCGCTAGGCAAGCGACTGCTAGCAAGCAACTCGATATATTTTTCAAAGAAAACGTCCTTTTCATCCCGGGCGATATTCCGTTGTTTCTACGACTTTTCCTGGCGACTGCGAACAACTTGTAGTTGATGAACACCATGGGAGGAATGACAATAATAAACAAAATTAGAATATGAACTTGGATGGAAATAAGAAAGTCGTTTACAGACATCAGTGCCAAAGTAAGATCAACACTAATCAGCATTGCAAGAAGAGTTAAAAGTCTTCCCTTCGTTACCGATGTTCGATGAAAGATAGGATAAGATGTCGCCAAATATCGCTCAAAATTCATCATCAAAAGAGCGAGTAAAGAAAAACTAACGGAAAGACTCGTTACCCTGTTTGAAATCAACACCCAGCTACGGTATATATCCAACTTTTCATTCAACCATAACATCGTGCAAACAGCCAAAAGTGGATTATGTATTGAAACCGCTAGAAAATCGCAACAGGACAAAACCAATATCATGAAATAACACAATTTCTTTCGAAGCTGTACAGACCGCCAGAAACTGAGTATGACCACGGAATTTAAACATATTCCTGAGAAAAAGAACAATACATTTAAACCAAATATCAATATCAGGCTGATAAAAATGCTGACCTCCATTTTTGAGCGACTTCTTCTGGAGAATTGAACATATAACAAGTATAGAGCAGGTGGTCATATATAATTGTTGAAATGACATCACTAAAGTACATGTATGATAATTATACAAGGTGTATAAAAAAAGATCATCCAACATTGGCATGTTATCATGCACGAGTTACACATTTACTACTTTCATATCAATAAAGATCAGGCTTTTAGCTGTCGAATGATATCTTTCTTGTATCATCGCGATCAAAAATACAGATGGCGCAACTCATGTGTTAAGCCCATTTGGTCGTTAGTTGTTGCTGGCACGACAAGCGGTAGATGTGAAATAGTCTAATATAATAATAGTCTAATATTGTGTGTTTTATGCAAATCAGTCTTAATGATTGCAGAGTTTTATAAAGTTTTGTTGACACTCTATTACATCAGCCACTTGTCGTGCCAGCGACAACTAACGACCAAATGGAAACTAGGCTTTAGGCCTGTTTCAAACGTCGCGCTTCTCATGTGCCGAACGCATTAAAAACAATAGATAATGAGCTGAAATGCCTCATTATCTATATTGTTTTTAATGCGTTCGGCACATGAGAAGCGCGACGTTTGAAACAGGCCTAAGTATCATGCAAGTTTTGGTAAATTTCTACTTGCAATTTTGCATCGAAATTGAGTGGTTTGAAACATTTTACAGAACTGGAAGTTTGTAGACTGAACTCGCGATGCCATACGTTTCTAAAACGAGCAACAAACATTATTTGGTCATTTTTTATCCCAATGATCCAATAAAGGTGTCACTTGACTATACGCTCATGACATGATTGGTCTATCAATTCCAAATTACTGTTGTTTCTTGACGTTCAGTGAGGACTATTCACCAATGTGCCAGCAACCCAGTGATACTTAACTAAACGAACTTTCTTTATTCTGGATAAGTGGATAACTCTATCAATTCTAAACTATGGTACTCGATCTCGTACGGTTCAATAGTTTGCTGAACATCCTATACTTAATGGATTGATATAGGGATGCAACTACCTGAAAAATATACAAATTCATAACCATGATGACAATACTTTCAAAAATATTTTATCAAACTCTAAATATTGTCTTTTTTACGTAATGATGCGTTTGAAGGACATTGACGGTAAAGAATTCTTAATGGTCAGAATGGGATCGAAATATTCAATATATTTTTATGCTTCTGATAACTTTCATTCCCTCGGTACGTAAAATCTTGTTTTTCCAATAAAAGATTAAGCAGTTAAATGTTGAATTCATGGAGACTATGGTTATGGCCCAGAGTCGCGCAAGGTTTAAATTAGCAGACAACGCCGTTGTGTCCTTCGAGGTTATCTTTAGCCCAATATAGACGAACGCTGGAATGTTTAGCACCACAAAACAAGCGACTGCTAGCAAGCAACTCGATATATTTTTCAAAGAAAACGTCTTCTTCATCTTGGGCGATATTCCATTGTTTCTACGACTTTTCCTGGCGATTGTGAACAATTTGTAGTTGATGAACAACATTGGAGGAGAGATAATAATAAAACATATTAGAACATGAACTTGAAAAGAAATGACAAAGTCGTTTACAGACATCAGTGCCAAAGTCAGATCAACAATAATCAGTATTGCCAGAAGAGTTAAAAGTCTTCCTTTCGTTACCGATGTTCGATGAAAGATAGGATAAGATGTCGCCAAATATCGCTCAAAGTTCATCACCAAAAGAGCGAGTAAAGAAAAACCAAGAAAAACAGACGTCGTTGCCCTGGTGGAAATCACCATCCAGCTAGGGTATACATCCAACTTTCCAGTCAGGCATAACATCGTGAAAACAGCCAAGAATGGATTATTAGTTGAAGTCGCAAGCAAATCGCAACAAGACAAAACCATTATCATGAAATAACATAATTTTTTTCGAAGTTGCACAGACCTCCGGAAACTGAGTATGACCAAGGAATTTAAACATATTCCTGAGAAAAAGAACAATACGTTCACAGCAAATATAAATATGAAGTTGATAAAATAGCTGAGCTCCATTATTTAGCGACTTCTGAAGAATTGAACACGACAAGTATAGAGCAGGTGGTCATATTAATAAAGCGCATGTATGATATGATAGTCATATAAATTACTCATTATTGACATTAACATAATATAAGCTATAATACGTAATATAAGCTTCAATTTAATGTAAAATTCAACCACAAACGCTTCGCAAAAAACGTTTTAAAATGTTCTTTATAAAACTAAACTGCCTTTATCGATAAACTTCGAGTTTGAAATAAAATGATTTCAAATTCTCGCATGCAAATAACTTTGCTTTTTTTATTTAAAAATTTTAATATAATAAAAAAAGGGTAATCAATAAAGATACATTGAAATTATATGCTCTCATTTGTCATTTAATATACGCAACGACCAGCATTATATAGCCCGATTGGGCATTAGCTAATATTAAAAGCAAACAACACATCAATATTTAAAACTTACCTTCGTTATAACGTCTGCGCCTTTGCTCCCTTCTATCCTATAGCAATTCTTTCGCCCTTTTTTTCTCAAAAAGCTTTTGATATTTACAAAATCTTGAAAAAATGAAATATATTTGCATTGCAAGAAATCATCAAATCAAGAAATGTTTGCTATTTCGCTGTCGTCATGCAGTCGTTATAATGCAAATTTTAAATTGGACCGGTCGGTGTTCGCTATTCATGACAGTCCACTATATTTTGAGATCAGTGAGGATGACCACCCACGGTTCGTCACCCACGCCCGCGATCATTGATGAACTTTAGACTTCGCTAATGCTTTCCTTTCCCCGGGGGTAAATAGATGGGAGGAATTAGTACCCTCGCACGGCGCTCCGCGCCGTTTGCTCGGGGAAAATTTACGATTTAGATCTGAATTGTACTTCCTTATTAACTTTAAACTTTAAACCCTAAGCGCGAAAAGTGCGATGGGAACGCTCTCCGTCGTAAATCTTGGCTGTATGCACAAAGATTAATATGATAATTAAGTCTTTCTGACACACAATACTAATTCCAATACTAACTGCTAACTGTAATCTTATATCGGGCTTTATATAAACATTAGGGTTATTGAAGAGGGTCCTGAACACTGGTCCTGAAGGGGTAAAGTGGGAACTGAAGTTTGTTATTTTTTGAATGAGAGAATGGGATTGGATTACTGGGACTGGAAATGACAGACACAAAATCATATACCATTTTAAAGACAGATGCAGTTGGACATGTTTGAGTGAAATAACTTCAGGAAAAGCTACCGAGCAATCGTTGTTTGAGAATTTGTCCAAAAAAGATTTCTGCTGTTTTCCGCGGCTCTATTATACACAGCGGTTTCTCCCGTCATGTAAATGTTGCAAAAAATGACAAGTAGACTCCAAACCTAGTTTACTCGGCAAAACTACTTCTAAAGAGCGCAAATAAACGCAGCATTGTGTTTTAAGGTCAGCACATAGACGAAATACCTGCTCTGGGATTTTCTTTTAATTTCATATTTGGGATTGGGATTTGGTCTAAAAATGGCTGGGGAATGCTGGAATTTAGACACCCCCCCTTCCCCCAAATTTAGTATATATGTTCCAACAGAAAAAATCATCCCCGGTTATGTTCACTGTTTTTCCTTTAATCTTTCTAGATTCCATATGGTAGCTGCGAGGGTGAAGATCAAAATGCATTGGTAAAGTATATACTGAATGTCACACACGATATTAGCAAGTACATGTTTAGAAATTTGTTAAATGCGCCAAGGAATAATCACATGAGGTATTTCTTGTTTTAAAGGGAATTTTATATTTTTAGCTACTGAACCGACTTAAAGAGCAAACAACGATCCAGCGACCAAACAAGGTAGTTTACACGTATGACATGGTATTGTATGGTATGGTATGGTATGGTATGGTATGGTATGGTATGGTATGGTATGGTATGGTATGGTATGAAATTCATAAGTTGTAGGGTACTGTATGGTACGATGTCGTGTGGTATGCTATGCTATAATTATGTATGTTATGGTGTGATATGGTATGAGATGGTATGACATAGTATATGGTGTGGTGTAGTACGGTATGCTATGGCATGGTACGGTATATGATATGGAATATGATTATGGTATGACATGGTGTGATTGTGTGAAGTAGAGTAGTAACCTTATAGTATGGTACATCTTATAGTATGGTATACTATATAGTATACTGTGCATGATGTGATATGGTTTGACATGGTATGTCAGTATGGTATGTGGTATGGTATGGTATGGTTTGATATGGTTGACATGCTATCATATGACATGCTTTATCATCGTAGAAATTTTCCTTTATTACAGATTTGTCCAAGTCCCGAATTCGTAGCGCCTGCAAACCTAGATAGTAAGGATTTCGACAAACGAAAACGGGAAGTAACAGACGATGAAGTAAGTTGGGGCACAGGAACGGCCATAAAATTTTGTCAGTTGTAATTTTTTAGTGTGAAGTTTCACTTCACACTATTGTGATGGCTGGCAAATTCACACGAATCAGTCAGTCAAACAGTCAGTCATAGAGTAAACTTTCCGGGGGGTGTATACGATTTATGTTCGTAGTGATTTATTGTACTTAGTCAGTATTTTGAAGGTTATTTAGGCAATTTCAGTTAACTTATTTACATATTCTGTTATCCTTTTGCCCAGTTCGCAAAAATTTCGAGGAATCGCTTTCGTTATTGTAATTTTTTGTAAATTTTAGAACATTCGCTTCTCATGTTGTGTAAAGGATTTTTACCCCGGAACACCCGATTTTTTTCTTTAGTAGCGCAAATGCGCATGCGCTATCAAGCCGTAGATCACGATGGCGTGACGATATGCTAGGAAGGAGTGACAGTGTTGTTTTCAGATGTATAAACATTTCAGACGTGAATATTGAGTAAATCTTTGAAAATCTACACAAAATACAAATTGATCTTATACATTACGGGTGTTCAATTAAGTGCCGATAATATTTAGACGGTATATTCATTATACAGAGCTAGGAAGGAGCTAGACCACCTAGACAGTGCAGTCAAGTGTATAAACATTTCAGACGTAAATATTGAGTCGAAAATCTTTGAAATTCTAGGCATTCAATTGAGTGCCGATATTATTTTCACAGCATACTCATTACACAGAGCTACAGTACGTAGGCAGAAGCGAGACAGTGTTGTTTTCAAGTATATAAACATTTCAGACATGAATATTGAGAAAATCTTTGAGATTCTACGCAATAATACAATATGTAAATTTATGTTATGCATTACGGGCATTCAAGTAAGTGCCCATCGATATTATTTAGACCGTGTATTCATTATACATTGTCATTGACTGTAGTCTGTATAAGGTGCTACATCACAGAATAGATGGCTACACTCAGTACAAAGAGCGAAAAATTGCATCAGATCTGTATCAGATCAATAAAGCATAAACAACTATTAAACAGAAGCGGGTAAATGTTTGTACGGCGTTTACGAAGAAAATAACTTGCGAGACTAAAGAAATCAGTTGAGGCAGAGCTCCTTATTTAAATGAGAAAGACGAGGAGATAGCCAATGTGTTATCGCCAATCGCTTGGCTCGCCAACAAGCTTGATGCAATAGAAGAAAAAGGCAACATGTAGCCAACGTGTACCGTCACGGACCTTGTCTTTGTTTACTGTCTAGCACAACGCCGTTGTCAACGGTGCAAATTCGTGTTCAGTTCAACGATAACTCTACCATATCGTACGAGAATCAATCTGTAGTATTCTGTACACAGAACTGTATCAAAGCTTGTCAAAATCAAAACTGCTTTAAACACTGCTTAACTGTAAAACTATTGAAATCTAAAGTGACATTATTCAACACATGCGAAAAGCTGAAAATAGACGTGACACTGGGAAAAGTCAAAGGTCAATGTGACTTGTTATTGTGAAACCAACCTCGTACCCAGGGCTTCTGCGCTTATTGCTCTCAGAAGCCCTGGGATAATCCAACTCAGAACGTGATTTGATTGGTCAATGCGAATTTTGGCAACATGGCTGCTATCACAAGGAGTGTACACAAAAGTTAAATGCTGGTTTTTGCATGAAAATACTTCCTTAAATCAAATTCTGGGCTATTTTGAAAAGAGCAAAAGAAGAAATGGACTATTTGTATTTGTAAATAAGCAAGAATGGCGAACAGAGTAAAAAAATTAACATAATAAAGCGAAACATTTCTCGTTCGAAAATTGAAAATTGAAATTTCAATTATAAATCTACAACTTCAACCACGATATTCAATGTAAATATTACATAATAAAGTTTTTAATACCTTTTTTACCTTTATTTGATAAATTGTGTGTTCTACATTATTGCATTTTGTATTGGAATAGGATAAATTATGAATTATACACAAATATTTAAATTTACAAATTATTCCCAATTTGAGGATGCTGGGTGCACTGGCTCAGAGTTTGTATTAGTGCCTATTTATTATTGATTATTAGTGCCTCTAAATCTCTAATGTACAAACATTGTAATCTGTCACTTAATACCATAAAGAAACTGTTGATAGCACATATATTAAATGACTATTAATCAAAATGAACTAAATTTCGACCATTATATACTTAGCATATTTCCCCCAATATTGAGGGAATAATTTCTCCTATTTATTTTTATAATAAGCCAATATTGCCCAACTGTGAAGTCAATATTGCCCGACTGGCCTAGTCTGCCCAACAATTGAGCCCCGCCCTGTACGCCTATGACCAGGCCTACAGGTGGACCCCCAACCTGATTGGTCACAATTTTTATTTCTCCAAAATTTCCCCTCCCCATGTACAAGGATTGACAGTTTGATTAGATTGGGAAAAAAACACAGTTATATTGGGTCATTCCAGAAAACACCCATACCACTCCCACAGAGGAAATTGAAAGTTAATCCCTCATACCCCTTTGGATGTCCTAATACATTTATTATTATCAGAAACAATTTTTTCCCCCTCCCCCTCTGAACGGCAGAAATTTCCTCTGTGGGGGGAGTGTGGATATTTTCTGGAACGACCTATTTGAGAAATGCTTTTGCACAAATTTTAAATTTTCTTACAATTTTCTTGTATGTCAGAACACTGTTCTAAGTTGCAACTAAAATTCAGAGGTCTAAAAGGCTCAAGTCAATTCCAGTGGTGTAACCAGAGGGGGGAGGGGTCAAAATATTTTAAATGTTCTGAACTTGTTTGTAATTAATTAGAGTTGAACATGTGGTTAACTGCAAGGCTATTTCAAATCACCAAAACACATTAAAATAGCCCCCCAAAATGGCACTTTATTAACTAGAATTTAAAAAGTTTACATTGTACTATATTATACATGGATAGCTTGGGAGTCCAAATATATTTTTACATACTAACAAACTTTATTCAAACTAGTGCAGGCCCCTCCTGGGAATTTCAGTCCCCCTTGAAGGCCTTAATTAGAAATTCTGGCTACATCACTGCTCAATTCCATTGCCAATGATGGTGTTAGAGTAGGTTAACAAACTAGTGTGTATTATGAGATAATCCATTGAACACCAATGATCTATCCCAACATATCCGGGCCGGGCATAGTACCACAGAAAATTTTTAAAATTTGGGTCTCTGAAATGGCATTTCCAGCATTCTGAGAAAACATTTTGGAAAATTTTTAGATTCTCAAAACATTTAAAAAATTCAGAATATTTAATATTGGCTATTCCACTATTGTCAACTAGTGATACCCAACTGAATTCCTTAACATAAGTTGGTTAGAATTGGGATAATCAGCAATTAACAAAAGTTGGAGTTTCATCTGATGACATGTATGCTTCTAACCATGCTGTCCATGCAGCTATCTGACAGTTTTTAATTTTCAACATTGATTCCCAAAGCCATTATTCTCAAGATTTGCCAAAAAGGTTTTCCAAATATTAAAGTGCAGAATTATATTACATTACTCATCACTGTTCATTTTACATTCTTCAAGTAGATGCATGTTCTTCAAGTAGAGGCATACAGTACAGTATATCTTGTGCATTTATAATTAAATCTTGCAATATCTTGTTCAAAACCCTCAAATCCAAGATAATCGGCAGCCAGCCATGTTACCAGTAAGATTTCTAGTCTGTTAATTTTGAAATGACCAAGGTTGTACTCGAATATAAATATTTATACTTTAATTATTGAATAGCCCCTGTATATCGCTGACAAATATGCTGTTGTCGCGATATAAGATGTTCTTTTGCTCGCCAAAGGGCTAATTTTACGCATAATTGTATCTCTAAATTGATCATTCCTGACTTTAAATTCCAAAAGCCAGGCGAGAAGCAGTTTAAGACGTCTTTACAAGTCCAAATATATCATAAATTGCAACAAATAATCCATTCTCACTCCTTGCGTAAAAATATGCCCAGTCAGCGTTTTTAGCTGGAGCTACTGTTTACTTCCGCTTCCGGGGGCACCACTGTTCTATGGTGTTCCGGTTTGGATTATCCCAGGGCTTCTGAGAGCAATAAGCGCAGAAGCCCTGGGTACGAGGTTGTTGTGAAACATGTCACAATTAGGTTAAAATGCGGAATCGGGTGAAGCGGATCCACGGAACGGATATGCGGGTAAAATAAGGAACGGATGAGGATAAAATGCGTCCTTTTAATGATGTAACGACGTAGTGCTTATTATTCATAACATATCTTATACAGCTATTTCAATTATAGTTTTAGATAAATTTAGAATAGCAGTAGCCTGGTGGAGATGCTTTTAGCGACAGCTGCAAATGCAAATGAAAATTTAGAATATGCAAAATTTGGCTATTGGTGAAACAATTTAAATTTCGAATTGTCGCGTGTAGCATCACAATAAATAGATAAATTGCATCAGTTTCACAAGGCAAGTTTCTGATGTGTTAGGCCTGTTTCAAACGTCACGCTACTTGTGTGCCGAGCGTATTAAAAGCAATAAATAATGAGATGAAATGCCTTTGGTAACTGTTTATTTCGTAGTGTAAGTCATCAGCTTTTCTAGGTTGTCGGCGACCCTATATAGTTGTTGCAGTGTCTTTTTTAATTTGAAACTTCACACTATCCTTGGATCCCTAGTTTCTTTTCAGTACAAAATATTGTTGCCCTACATTATTTGACTAACGCATTCAAATTCTTCGTTTTACAGAATGATGCAAAACGAACCAAAGTTGAAATTCATCAAATTTCAGAAGAAGTATGCGATTATAGTTTTTGTGAGGAATAGTTTGAATGGATGATTTCAGCTTTTGACTAAATTTTGATCTAGGCAAGAAGAACAAAATCCATCACCACAGCTAGAAAGAGCATGTTAAAATTAGTAAAACTGCAAAGTTTGGCCGCGAAATGTTGTAAAATGCGGAAAATATAGCCCTGCGAAATTTGCCAATTTTGTATTAATTTGTATATTTTATGTGCATTTTCCCATGCGTAATACAAATTAATACAAATTAATATATATTTTCCTCATTTTACAACATTTCGCGGCCAAACTTTGCAATTTTACTAATTTCAACATGCTCTTTCTAGCTGTGGTGATGGATTTTGTTCTTCTTGCCTAGATCAAAATTTAATCAAAAGCTGGAATCACCTATTTCGTGGGTCACCGCATGTGTTGTGACCAGTGTCATCTCCGCCAGGAGGTTATGTTTTCATCTTCGTTTGCGAGTGTGCGTGTTTGTCTGTGAGCTCGATAACGTAAAAATGATCAAACGTATTACTTAATACGAACGTTTCTGGGACTAATGACATTGCCAGAGAGCAAATTGATTAAATTTGGATGAAAATTGGATGAGAAATTAGCAAACGTTTGTCTTGCTTTGCCGGACAGAGTAAACTGAATGCATAATTAGCCCATTGGATAATTTTGCATGATACAATTTTTACATGATACAACATAATTTATGCATGCATGAAAATTGGTTAATTGGATGAGAAATTAGCAAACGTTTGTCTTGCTTTGCCGGACAGAGTAAACTGAATACGTAATTAGCCCATTGTGTAATTGCCCTCTACACACGCAAAAATCTCACATCTCGTAACAAGTTTGTCAACAAGCCGTCAACATGTTGTCTTCGCACTGCTTGTCACAAGTTGTCAACAAGTTTGGAACAAGCTGTTAACAATTTGTAACAGCCTTGTTGATATTATCAAGCTTGTTGCAAGGTTGTTCCAACAAGTCCGATACAGTCATGATTTTGCAGTATTGTTACAACCTTGTGTCTTCAACCTTGTAACATTCTTGTTTATCAGACTGTATCTACTGTATCAGACTTGTTAGAACAACCTTGTGACAAGTCTGATAATGCCATCAAGCTTGTTACAAGTTGTTAACACTTTGTTCCAAACTTGTTACAGCAACTGGGAACAAGCAGTGCGAAGACAACTTGTTGACAGCTTGTGAACAGATTTGTAACAACTTGTTTGCAGACTTGTAACAACTTGTGCGTTTTTACGTGTGTAGTCTGATTATAATTTCATCTATGGTTTCAATCATGTGAGAAGAGTGCTTCTAGTTTGACTCACAGAGTTTTGTGACTTGACTAGGTCTTACAAAATAAGACTTGCTTGCAACTCTGCTAGCCTCACTGGATCCCATATATAGCCTATATGTGTAATGGTCGATTTATATTACACAGGCTGAGTATAAAAACTATAGGAGGAAAATTACTCGCTATTTTTACTCCTATGCTACGATTAATTGGGAGTTAAAAGAACCCCTGGAGTAAAATTTACTCCTGTGCTAGAGTTATTTTAATCCTTTAAGTGGAGTTAAATTGATTAAATGCTGTGCTGAGTGGTTATATTACTACCTTAAAAAATAAGCAGAAACTCGACGTATCGAGCGAAGGCCCTTCGTCAAGAGTTAGTACTACTAGTACTACTTGGCTACTAACTCTTGACGAAGGGCCTTCGCTCGAAACGTCGAGTTTCTGCTTATTTTTTAAGGTAGTAATATAACCACTCAGCACAGCATTTTCACATTGGTACTACCAACACTGGTACAGACAGTTTTAGTTAAATTGATTCCCATTGGAGTATATGTTCGAATACATATCGAAATGGAGCAGTTTTAACTCCATTTTTGGAGTAAATTTAACTCCAAAATTTTTACTCCCAATTTTTAACTCTCAGCTAGTGGAGTTAAAATACCCGGTAACTCCTTGAAATTAACAGTGTACGACCTTTAAGGCGTCTGCAGCGCAGACTATGGGGGATTCATAGTCTGCGCTGCAGACGCCTTAAAGGTCGTACACTGTTAATTTCAAGGAGTTATTTTAACTCCACTAGCTGAGAGTTAAAATGTTTGAGATATTCTCAAAACAAGACGACATGGGATAACAATATTTCTTATATAGGATGAAGAAACATCGTCCACATTGGAAGAACTATCCAAACATTTAATCAAACTTCGAGAAATACACACTCGTACTTCGCAATTGCCTCCTGAGGTTTGGGAAAAGTTAAAATCCTTGAAGACTTTACTGGACACAATGGTAAAATCTAATTAATACCTTTATTAACATGACAATCGATCACGTATTATGTTTTAAATGTAAGTATAAAATTTATAAATAGGTTTGAATTTATTTACCGCAAAAATATTTTATACAAATATATTTTGAAATAGTAGCCAGTGTGGACCAGCCTAGCTCCATCTGCAAGCTTTCCTCGTGAAAGATGAAATATTATTTTTATATTTCTGGAGTAAGAACCATTGAACTATAAATAAACTGGAACGATAAGTTCGCCGCCATCTTTGAAGCCGGCCATGAGTGTTTTCTGCAGGTAGGCCCAGTCTTTTTTTACAAAATGGATGCGAAAAATACAGCTTAATAATCGGTTAATATTTTCTCACTTTTACTTCTTTCAAAGCATTTATATTTATCCTAGGGCACACTTAAACAACACAACGTTTATCGAAGGCACATAAAATAAGCAAATATTGTTTAACTGCCGAAATATGACACGAACAAAACGAAACTCGGCAAAAAACCGCGCGTAAATGTATGGTTTTTCTGAGTTTAAAAACTGAAACCAGAAACAGTTCAGAGATAATTTTATACAATTTATGTAGCAAATTCTTAGACACGGTTGATAATGGATGTCCAAACATCCAGAAACGTACTTTAATAAGTTAAAATAAGGATTAAAAAAGGAGTAAAAATACATCGTGAAAAATTTTGTGTATTTATTTTCGTATACATACCTGCGAACAGGCTATACTTGAGCGCCCGAAAATTGGCTTGACCCAAACATAGACCTTTATCATAGGAGTTATCATTCCAGTTTACTTATAGTTCAATGGTAAGAACTCGCGTCCAAACAAGAAGCCAAAGATGACGGAAATTCTCGTTCAGTGCCAGTCCTTTTCTGCCGTTTTTGCCTGCGCGCGGTTAACACAAAGCTGTATATATAAGCAGTGTGGAAATTTCGTGTCTTGACTTCGATTTAAAAAATATTGCTATGGTTTTTATGAGATGACAAAAAAATGTTCATAATTACAATATACATTTCGAACAATTTCGACCTCCTCTTTGGATAGTATATTTGAAATATACAGGTCAATGTATATTATAATTATATGCACACATTTTTCGGAATAATATTTTAATTTTATATTTGCTGATATAAAAATATCGAATTTAGATTCTAAAATATACGAACTCTAATTTTCGTATGTTTTAACATCTTTGTAACACCTAAACAAAACGCACCAGCTTTATAAACATAATTCATTCTTCGCTTTTGTGACCACATTCTAAGCAAACTTAACCCTATTTTACCACCTTGTATTTTATCAATATTGTTCCCTCAACGCAACTGAATCAACGCTGGCCTTCCCGCTGAAATAACACGCATTTAGACGATTTATAGATGGCGCGCAAACAATCTGCCTCAAATGTCAACACAGCGGGACTGCTTCCTGTCATCCTATACAGCTAAACTGCGCTTGAAAATAGATCGCTACAGCTGAACTATTTACTAACTCAGAGAACCACAGACTCGTTCGGTTAAATCATTTCCCACATTGGGTAAACTCAGTTCTTTGTGTGAACATTAAAGACAATGGAGGCGAAAATTTTGTGTATTCTTGTGGTGTTTTGCTTTGGTATAAGCGCGATAGTTGGTAAGCCAATTCTGTATTTTGATGTAGTAACTAACGAATGTTTATAGGTAGTATTTTGTCTGAACTACTTTCATTAAATAGATTAGAAGCACTTCAACGTTTCATCGAAATCAGGAATTTAGGAATAGTATAATGCCGTCTTGACGAAGAGCCTTCAAATACTGAAATACAATCTAAACGTATATAATGATAATCTGAATGACTAGTGGCTGATAAATGACAATAATCAGACAATAATCTGGATTGAATGACTCGCTCTATTGCGGCTAATCGCTCTTCCTATTATTTTAATAGTATACACTGTTATACAAGTCTTGGTTCCCTTATAGTTAATACCGCGTATTTAAATCCTTTCTCAATGTTTTGTTTTTCCCAAATCCTATCAACAGTTAGTGACCATGCACATTCACATTTAGGACGCAAAACACTTTTCTCGAATATTCATGTAAATTGTTGATTTGCAGCGGCGGAGATAAAACGCGGATCCGGAATTACGAGATACGGAATAGGAAACAAAAAATCGAATAAAGATGTACGTGATAACTATAGCCAGGTTGCCGCTGTAACTTAAAATTCGTAATAAATATGTAGTACGCGATGCTTAATTTATTAGCCGGATAATGTTTTCATGGTTGAAATACAGCTTTGTTAAACAAGCAGAAATGTCAGAAATTGGCGGAGGGGGAGGGTGGCGGTTGTCCCCCTGGTCCCGCCGCCTAGTGTCCGCCAGTGTACTAAAAAGCAACTTCAGCATCTCTACACACTTGCCCCTTTGTTAGTTTGCCCTCAACCCCTCTTGGTCACAACTTTTTTCCATGTATTATTACTTAGAGCTGTATTGCCTGTGATTGTTTTTATAGGTCAACAATGTGCTGACAAATTGAATTACTGTTCGCAATGGCCTGACAGTTATTGTACGGATTATCTGGATTACATGAAGACAAACTGCCCTAAGAAATGCGGATATTGTACAACAGGTATTGAGTCTTGACTATAGAACAAAAGTTATTCCGAATAAGGAGTGCATAATAATAACACACAATTTATGAAAACTGTATATTTCGAATCAAATCTGATTCATCTTCACTTCAGCAGTGTTTTGTAAGATATGATTGAGTATTGAGTGTTCCTAGACAAACCAGGAAACTTTGAGTTATGGAGTTTCTCTGCATTTCTATTGTTTTTGCGCGGTTAACAAGACTGCAATGTTTTTCTTTTAGTTCCAACTACAGTTCCAGGAACAGGATGCTCAGATAAACAGTCGCAAAGTAACTGTGTCCGTTGGAAGAATTCTGGTTACTGTGCCGACGGTCACAAATATCAACAATACATGAAAGATAACTGTAAAAAGACATGTGGATTTTGTGGTAATGTATTTTTATGCCTAATATTTCATTGAGGTTATTGAACAGGGTTCGTAGCGGTCTTTGAAATCCTTGAAAGTCTTTAAATTTGAATGCAGGTCTTTAAGGTCTTTGAAAAGTCTTTGAATTGTGTGAAAAAGCGAAGAAAGTCTTTAAAAGTCTTTAAATTCTTCAGTGAGTATTTGATTAGACGATTTCCTAGCTAATAAAATAAATTGATTGAAGCAAGATTTTCGCAAATATCGACGAAAAGGCGCATTTTAGGATGTGATTTGACAGGACTAATTACCCGCGGGTAAAAATGGTGCTCACACTCGCAATTTTTCGACAGCTAATTGCTCTCAAAGGTATTTGAAAAGTCTTTGAAAATAGGCAGAAAAAATCCTTGAAAGTCTTTGAATTTTTTTGGTCTTGGAGACTACGAACCTTGTTGAATTAAGAAAAGACCAAACTGTGGGGTACAATGCATGCAAGGGTTGAAATTTTTTTAGTCGCATGAGGGGCTACCAGTCAATAATATCTGATCTGGTCCGATCATGAGGGCTGGACTAGATTTCTTATCCCATACCTGTGTTAAAAGCGGCTTTCTGATTGGTTTAGAGCAGGTGAGCTTGTCGTCGAGCTCACCTGCTTTTTGCCGAACTCACCTGCTTTTCGACCGAGCTCACCCGCTAAACTGCTTACGTTGCAATAACAATAACAAATATGGCGGACAAGATTTAGCCGATAAACCTAAACTTTAAAGAACTTTTTTCGGTGACTAACATACTGAGACTGAAGAAAAACCAAAGATAAAATGCAGTAAAGGTAATGTAGACGTAGATAAAGAAGTATTTTCTTGCCCAGTGATTTTTTTGGCCGGGAAAATGTTCACAAAACATCGACGAGACGACGAATATATCGCGAAGAGCTACAAATGTGTGTATGGCTCGGTGTATGGGATAAAAACCAAACGTACTTGCAGCTTCGGTGAGTCCGGGATTGGACGCACCTCGGGTGGCAGGAAGTTTCCCGAACTCACCTCGCTTCGCTCGGTAAGTTCGGGAAACTTCCAGCCACCCTCGGTGCGTCCAATCCCGGACTCACCTCCCTGCAAGTACGTTTGTTATAAAGTCCGCGCAATTTGATCCGGTCCGAAGCGAAGCCGAAGACTGGATCAAAATGCGAGGACTTGAAATCTAGTCCAGTCCGAATTGGAGGATTTGAATTGACATCTCATTTGAATAAATCACTACTTAAAGTGAGGTGAAATAAAACTACAAAGAACATAAAAGCATAATTTATTTTTTAAAACTACATCAGATCAACTCGATGCTTAATATAACATTTTCATAACCCGAATCTTAAATCTAAAGTGTAATTATTATAAATTGAATTAATCTTTTAAAGGAGGTTCGACTAAACCCACGGGTGCAACAACTAAACCAACAAACCCAACTCAGCCAAGTGGTAAGTTAAAAATAAAAGCTGGTTTCTATCTCTTTTAAAATTTCTTCAGTGGATGGTAGGGGGGGGGGGGTAAAGAAAAGGGACATAACTATGTCAGGGTGTCCACGGACCTTGAAAATCCTTGAAAGTCCTTGAATTGGAAAAAATATTCCAGGACTGAAAAGTCGTTGAAAATCAGTAGAAATCCGGTCCTTAAAAGTCCTGGAATAAAAGTCCTTAACCTCCAGCTGTGCCAACATTAGCGATTTTGATTAAAATTACTGAATAAAGTGAATCAAAGAGGGGCAAATCCGTGCCATTTTCAAAGATTTTTCCCAGTTCTAGGTTCCTGAATTTACTGAAAAAGGGCCTGGAAAGTCCTGGAAAAGTCCTTGAATTTCACTTCACCAAAGGGTGGACACCTTGCTGTGTGGTGGTGGGCAGGAAAAGCACAAAGTTGTGGGGTCTGGGGAACACCTATGGGGCTATTTGAACATAGTGCCTTATAGGGGCGAACATTGTGCCTGAGGGGGGGGGGGGGGGGCT